ATGAAGTGCAGCGCTACTCACGCATGCGCAGTGGGTACCCGGCTGTGAAGCCGCAAGCTATCACAGCCGGGTGCCCACACTGAAGATGCCGGCCTCCTGGCATACAGGACGGCCAGTGAAACGGGCTGTGGGGGACACACCACGGGACCGAGGGACAGGTAAGTGGCTGTTTTTTAAAAGTCCGCAGCTAAGGTTTTTGTAGCTGCTGACTTTTATATTTTGACAGGTGAGTGGAACTCCGCTTTAACATGCCTCCACTCCTAGGATGGGCCATAGCCTTCCATGTAGTGGTAGTCTTGGATCTGCGGAAGTCTGCCTTAAATTTGATCTACTTTGTTCTGCATGGGCAAAGCACAGACTGCTGTCCCTGGTGAGATGGCTTCAGTACTGAGTCACTGACCAGGAACAAGCATGCTTTAAGTAAGGGCAGGATTCCTGTTCCATATAATCATTCCAGCACAGTGACTCAAAGATGTAGGATCGTCATCGCAGCTTCAAAACGGATTTCGTTAAAGCTGAACTCCAGGCAAATTTAAAGATGTATCCATGATTACAGAGCTGCGTTTATTTATGTACTTTATATGTTTTTTTTTTTCTTTTAAAATGCAAGCAATGTAATTAAAGTGGAACTTTATTCTCTCAATCAACATGGACTATTTTTAGTCCTTTTGCTGTTATAAATAGTAAATAGAGAGGAATGTGAATCATAGTTATTTGTTTTCAACTATTTTTTATGTTCCTTCAGTTACTTCCTGGTTTCTTGCCTTAGGCAATAATGTCATACATCCCAGGAGTCTTCTGGAGGGGAGGATTATTCTCAGCTAAGTATGCTAGCCTACTTGTATGCCTGAAACAAGGGCAGATGGATTCCAGGAAGTCGGGGCTACATAACCCATCTGCCCTTACTAAACATGGCCACTGCCAGAAATGCAAGGGGGTGTTTGTCTAAGAAATCACTTAAAAAAAAAAAAAAAGCATGGAGACATGAATGGACAGGGGAGTTTGCTTTGAATATTAAATTTGACTAAAGTCTGCTGTCGGCTGGCGTCACTCAGGCAGTCCGGGTTTTGAAAAGATCATGACCATACATCTCCAAGATACGCTAGTTCTTAACATCTGAAACCACTAAGCAACTTATTCACTCCCTTGTTATATCTCGCCTTTACTATTGTAACTCCCTCTTCATTGGCTGACCTCATCGCAGGCTATCCCCTCTTCAGTCTATCATGAATGCTTCTGCCAGACTCATCCACCTTACTAACCGCTCCGTATCTGCCACCCCTCTCTGCCAATCCCTCCACTGGCCCCCATTTAGTGTCCTCCACCCCTCTCTGCCAATCCCTCCACTGGCCCCCATTCAGTGTCCTCCATCCCTCTCTGCCAATCTCTCCACTGGCCCCCATTCAGTGTCCTCCATCCCTCTCTGCCAATCCCTCCACTGGCCCCCATTCAGTGTCTTCCACCCCTCTCTGCCAATCTTTCCACTGGCCCCCGTTCAATGTTCTTCATCCCTCTCTGCCAATCCCTCCACTTGCCTCCACCCTTCTCTGCCAATCCCTCCACTGGCTTCCCATTGCCCAGCGAATAAAATTCAAAACATTAACAATAACATAAAAACATTATAACTCTGCCCCAAATTACATCACCAATTTTGTCTCCGAATATCACCCAAACCATCCTCTCCGCTCTTCACACGACCTCCTACTCTCTAGCTCCCTTGTCTCCTCCTCCCATGCTCGTCTCCAGGACTTCTCCAGAGCCTCCCCATCCGCTGGAACTCTCTACCCCAATTTATCAGACTATCGCCTACTCTGCTCACTTTTAGGCGATCTCTGAAAACATATCTCTTTAGGGAAGCCTATCCTGCCTTCAGCTAATAATAGAATTTTCTACTCCTCCTACCAGTCCATCCCCCAGTTATTACCTTTTGTACCACCAGCCCCTTCCTCTTAGATTGTAAGCTCCCAGGATCAGGGCCCTCCTAACCCTCTTGTATTGAACTGTATTGTTGCTGTATTGTCTCCCATTATATTGTAAAGCGGCTAGCAAACTGTTGGTGCTATATAAATCCTGAATAATAATAATATGGATGGGATCCACCCAGGAGCCTGGACCAGCAGCTGGCTCAGCCTCTCAGAAATCCGCCGAGATCCTGAGTCCCCTCCACAGCCATGCTCTCCAGCAAGCTCTGGCAGAGCAGGGCAGAGCAGAGCAGAGAGGAGAAGTGAGCGATCACAGCATTTGATATCTCGTTTCTCAGTGCAAAGCTGGTGGGGGACAGATGCAGCACTGGATAAATGCTGCACCCGCCTAGGGGAGTATCATATTTTTTTTTAATTTTTTTTTATTTTTTAAAGTCCAGGCAGGTCTCCTGCAGTGCCAGACAGGACTGTTCATATTTTAGAACTACATAGGCAGAGATAGCATACATGTTCCATGTCTATCACTGAAGTAGTAAAACTGGCCTCCGCTGAATTAGTATTTCTGTGAGAAGCCTTGGGTAGAAGCTGTGTGCTAAGACCAAGGCAGGGGTCTCACTCCTAGGTCTGCTTTACCACCATTGGAGTCAGGCACCGCAGCTGCCATCCTACTTCACACATATATATTATTCTTTGTGTAAAAAAAAAAAAAAAAAAGATGCAGAAATCTCAAGCTTTTTCTCACACCCCTGGCCTGATGTGCAAAGCTAGTTTGTGAAAGCTACCATGATGTAGTATGGGAGGAGGGCTGTAGAAGGAAAAGATTTTAAATTTCTGTCCGTCAGAAGAGGACAACCAGGCAGTAAGCATTTTCAGAAGGAAGCCAGCTATGCCATCCTATGCACATGGGATCAGGGGCGGACTGACCATTTGGAAACTCGGGCACTGCCCGAGGGTCTGGGGTCAGTAAGGGGCCCCATGAGATGCCCCTGGTACCTTTTTCATAGGCTTTTTGGAGTTTGGGCAAGGACACAGGGGCCCCATGAGTTGTCAGTCCGCCCCTGCATGGGACCTGTTTGACTGGACACACAGTAACAAAACAAAAAAAAAAAAAAAAATCAGCTACAAGTTGTAGGGCCACGGAGATTGCCTAATAAATGCAAATAAAATGAGGTAATGAACTTAATGCAGTGTTTCAATGGGAGTCGAAATTAAAAAAAACACAAAAAAAAAAGCAAAACAAAGAAATAAAAAATAAAAAAAAAAAAAAAAAACACATGCCTATCTGGCATTAGCCTTAGCTAATTATTTCACCCAATTTAGTAGAACGTTATAAAAACAAGAACCCACATCTTTCACATAATAAATTTGACATAACTAAAAGCAAGATTTCCATTAACCTTGACATGTGCTCTGCTGGCCCTGAATCCAGTTACTGTTTCTCTCACAGATACTATTTAGGTGCCACGAGCCCAGGCCCTCAGTAGGACGATGCACTGAGACAACGAAAAATAAGACACGACATTAAAGTAGGACATCCAAACAAAACAAAAAAAAATTATAAACTCGGTTCCAGCTTATGGTGCAAAATAATCATGCGTCAAGAGTCTTCTAGACATCCACAAGTCTCCCTGGGAGGATATACTTCTACATTGTGGCCCAGGTGTCAGATTTTGTATAAAAAGCTCGGGATATAGTCGAACCTGAGCACAGGAAGGAGCTGCGTCCCCGATTCCCTTAGGTAATGCATTTTCAGGAGCTCCGAGAGGTATTCTACTATTCTAGCATCCTCCTGAGACAGGCCAAGCAGCTGGTGGAGGAAAGCAGCGCGGCGCTGTGAGATAGTCTCTTCTCTCTCCTTTTCCCGGATCGGCAAATGGACGTGATGGCAAAAGGTAAAAAGGAAGGCTTTGGCGCTGAGTTGGGTCAGCACACTCTGTACGTGCATGTAGTAGGTGCTGCCTTTACGGATCTGAGTGCGGTGGTCAGCCAGCCTCTGTAAGGGTTCCCCTGTACACGGGGCAGCGGAGAGTTTTGTTGTCGGCGTCCAGGATGCTGGCGTAGCGGCTGTAGCGGTTCAGAGAATGGAGGGTGTTGCAGCCGGACGAAGAGACCCCTCTACGAAAGAAACAGACATATCATTTAACCAGTTCCAGTCCGCGACAATTCTAACATTTCTCTCATGCATGTAAAAATCAGCATTTTTGTTTGCAAGAAATTACTTTGAACCCCCAAACATTACATATATTTATTAAGCAGAGACCCTGGAGATTAAAATGGTTGTTGCAATTTTTTATGTCGCATGATATTTGCGCAGCGGTTTATCAAAAGCGAATTTTCAGGAAAAAGTACACTTGAATGAGTTTTACAAACACGATACGAAAACAAATTATTTGGTAAAACATAAAATATATTACGCCAAGTAAGCAGACACCTAACACGTTATGCTGTAGCCTCCCTAGCGGTCTGATTATGTCAGATTTCTGTGCTCAAAGCGGTACATTTTTTTGCATGGAAATATGTATTTTTTTTTTTTTTGTAGGCCTGTAATTCTTAGGAATAACTCACTGAAATCTGTCCAAACAAGAGTCTAGTAAACATCCCGGGCAGGGGCGGACTGACCATTTGGAAACTCAGGTACTGCCTGAGGGCCCGAGGTCAGTAGGGGGCCCCATGATATGCCCCTGGTACCTTTTTCATAGGCTTTTTTGAGTTTGGGCCCAGGGGCCCCATGAGTTGTCAGTCCACCCCTGATCCCAGGTATGTTAAAATTTGAAACCCGAAATCATAAATTATAATTTAATAAATAATCATAAAAAAGTAATAATATAATAATAAATTTCAATAATATAAATCAAACCAAAAACACTGAAATTTGAAATATAGCGCCAAGTTCGCACATCACTGAGCAAAGTCGCAGAATCGTTTTCAGTGTCTGATGACGAATTTCCCCCACGAATCATTATCACTCAATTCTGCAAGTGGTTCTGATTTACTATCGCTGTTCTCTAGCCGGTCTAAAACCGCTTTTGACGTAAAGGGACGCTTTTTGGACGCCATGGACGTTTCTCAGTTTCCAGGCAAAAAGAACAGTAAAAATGCAGGCAGGGCGCCGGACAAAGCACTCGGGACAAAATGTATGTGAAATGGTTTGATACAGTAATGTTTTACTACGTGATTTTAGTGTATTTAGTGAAAGTCACTTTTTGACATTTTTAAATTTCCCGCCGTTCCGTCCCCCGTACGTCCCGACGTCGCAGAGAAACGGAACCCGGAAGACAGATGCCGGCATCGGCCGGAGGACATTGCCGGGGACACTGCAGGGGGGACATCGCGGGAGCGCAGGACAAGGTAAGAGGAGAACAGATCGCTGCAGGGTATTCCCGAGTGTAGTTCAGGGTTACCGCTTGTGGTGCTGAAACTTTACCCCGAGCTACACTCGGGAATACCGCCAGGGGGGTTAACCACTTCCCATCCGGCCCATGTACATAAACGGCTGGACGGGAGCAGTGCCGAAGCGGGTGGCCGTTTATAAACAGCCCCCGCATTCACTGCCTGTGCGCGCTCCCTGGGAACACGCGGCACCACGATCTGGTGCCCACTGTGTGGGACCTCTGTGTGAGGTTGCGATCATGTGATCATTGATTGGTTAATTGGAGAAGATTTCATGGTGTATGGAAACCCTTTGGAGTATTGTAACCAGCCTGATGATTTGTATTGTCGCAATATGTTGGCTACATGTTTTTATACATTCAGCTAGTCCTATGCTCACATTTTCTATTTCAATTGCGCTTTTAATGATGTCCAATCAAGCTTTACTTTTTTATAAGCGATGTATGGAGTTTTGTTGGTATGGTGCCTAATAAAGCCCCAGTAATTTTTTTCGGTTAGGTTCCTATTTTTCAGTAAGGGGTGTGGCACCAGTAAAAATCCATCATCAAGGGTTGAGACTAGGGGTGCACCGAAATTTCGGTGGCTGAAAACACCCCTATCGACCAATATGAAAAAAAGCACTGGTACAGGTGCCAAAAAAAACCCTGCCCCCTCGCCGCTGCAGCCCCTGGGTAATTCTCAGCCTTACCTGAAAAACCACCGAATGATCCCGGAGCTGGGCATAGAGATGAGAGAAGGAAAGATGGCCTCCACTCATCTCTACGCCCTTGGAGGACTGGAGCGATGTCACTTCCAGTTCCGGCGCCTTGTAGACAAGGCCATTTTTTTAAAAAAAAAATTTAAAAAGCACTAGATCAATAATTTTCGGATCAAATGTTTTACACACTGTAGAGGAGAGATGTGGGGTCTTATTGACCCCATATCTCTCCATAAAGAGGACCTGTCACTAAATATTTCTAATCACTAGGGATGCATGCATTCCTTGTGATCAGAATAAAAGTGATTACATTTTTTTTTGAAGGGACAGTGCGGAAAAAAGAAAAAAAAAAAAAAGTTTAAAGTGCCCCCGTCCTTGCACATTGTGGTGAACACATACGAAGGCCATGCCCACATATGTAAATGGGTGTTCAAACTACCCACACGTGAGGTATCGCCACGCAAGAGCAATAATTCTCGCACTAGACCGCCTCTGTAACTTTACACTGCTAACCTGTAGACATTTTTAAAGCAGCACCCATGGAGATTTTTTAAGTACCGCAGTTTCATGCCATTCCATGAGCGTGCGCAATTTAAAAGCGTGACATGTTGGGTATCTACTTACTCGCCATAACAACCTCTTTCATATTTTACATAAAATTGGAGTATATATGGTTTTGTTTTTTTTAATCAAAGTGTATTTTTTTCCAAAAAATATAAAATGTTTAAAAACTGCCCATTTTGGTTTCGGTTTTCAACCAAGTGCATCCTGAATTTTCGTTTTTGGCACCAGAATTTTCGTTTCGGTGCACCACTAGCTGAGACCATTGTTTATATATATGTCTCTCTCTCCCTTTTTTTTTTTCTATAAAGATGTACAGTCTGCAGTATAAAACGCATACAGCTGGCTTCACCAAAGCCATACAGAGCCAAACCGTGTCCCGAAGCTCGACACCATATATATTGGCAATAGTAAGAGGACAAACTTTTTAAACCTGTCCAACTTTCACAGAAGGCGTTGCAGTTTTTAGGATATCTGGCTATTTCAGTAACAGACAAGTTCTCCTACATTGCTCTCCGCACACAGACTGCCATTTAGCAGATACGAGGGAAGATAATTACTAATGGGGTAACGTGGGTGTATGAGATCATTACAAGCCTAGATCCTAGATTGAGGGAATTGCATCACAGCTCTGTAACTATACACTGAGGAACAGAAGTATTTGAACACCCTGCGATTTTGCAAGTTCTCCCACTTAGAAATCATGGAGGGGTCTGAAATTCACATTGTAGGTGCATTCCCACTCTGAGAGACAGAATTAAAAAAAAAAATTCAGGAAATCACATTGTATGATTTTTAAAGAATTTATTTGTCTTGCTCTGCTGAACATAAGTATTTGAACACCTAAGAAACAGCAAGAATTCTGGCTCTCAAAGACCTGTTACTGTGTCTTTAAAAAGTCCACCTCTACTCCACTCAATCTAACTTAGTAGCACCTGTCTGAGCTCTTTAAAGAAACCTGTCCACCCCACAGTCAGTCAGATGCCAACTACTACCATGGGCAAGACCAAAGAGCTGTCAAAAGACACAAGGCTGAAAAGGGCTACGGGCCAATTGCCAAGCAGCAGCTTGGTGAAAATAGATCAACTGTTGGAGCAATTGTTAGAAAACGGAAGAGGCTAAAGACGACCGTCAGTCTCCCTCGGACTGGGGCTCCATGCAAGATCTCACCTCGTGAGGTATGATCCAGAGGAGGCATGGGAGAAAGTCATGTGGTCAGATGAGACCAAAGGAGAACTTTTTGGTCTAAACTTCACTCGTCGTGTTTGGAGGAAAAAGAAAGATGAGTTGCATCCCAAGAACACCATCCCTACTGTGAAGCATGGGGGTGGTAACATCATGCTTTGGGGGTGCTTTCTGCGAAGGGGACAGGACGACTGCACTGTATTAAGGAGAGGATGAATGGGGCCATTTATTGTGAGATTTTGAGCAACAACCTCCTTCCCTCAGTCAGAGCATTGAAGATGGGTCGTGGCTGGGTCTTCCAACATGACAACGACCCGAAGCACACAGCCAGGATAACCAAGGAGTGGCTCCGTAAGAAGCATATCAAGGTTCTGGAGTGGCCTAGCCAGTCTCCAGACCTAAATCCAATAGAACATCTTTGGAGGGAGCTGAAACTCCGTGTTGCTCAGCGACAGCCCCGAAACCTGACAGATCTAGAGGAGATCTGTGTGGAGGAGTCGGCCAAAATCCCTGTTGCAGTGCAAACCTGGTCAAGAACTACAGGAAACATTTGACCTCTGTAATTACAAACAAAGGCTTCTGTACCAAATATTAATACTGATTTTCTCAGGTGTTCAAATACTTCTGTTCAGCAGTGCAAGACAAATACATTCTTTACAAATCATACAATGTGATTTCCTGAATTTTTTTTTTTAATTTTGTCTCTCAGAGTGGGAATGCACCTACAATGTGAATTTCAGACCCTCCATGATGGAAAAGTGGGAGAACTTGCAAAATCGCAGGGTGTTCAAATACTTCTGTTCCTCACTGTATGTGAAGCTTGCCATTTACTGCCAGGTTGGAGGATAGTCATGCATCCCCAGGAGGAAGGTGTACTCTATCTTTCTGAGGGTACTGGAGCTGCTGTTGTGCACATCGCTGGAGTGATATCAGGTTCAGGTAAGTATCAGGGGAGGCTGGAGGAAATCCTCTGCAACAGAAGGTTTTTTACCCTAAAGCATAGAATGCATTAAAAGCACAGGTGTCAAACACAAGGCCCGCAGGCTGAATCCGACCCTCCAGGCCATTTCATGTGGCCCTTGTACCTCTCCTGCAGGTACCCCCTCGTCTCCGCCTCCACCTTGTCTCAGCAGTCGGCAGCAGAGAAAAGAAAATAGAACTCCTCTGCCAAATCCTGCACCTCTCAGTGAAGCTACAGCACCCCCTCATCTCTGCCTTCCCTGGTCTCAGCATTCAGCAGACTCCACTCCTCCGGTCCTCCTCCAGACCCTGCACTGCTTTCCAGCTCTGCCCCCAAAGGGGGTGCACGGTGATGTTAGGGAGGGTGTGGGATTCTTGACATCTGATGCTCTGGACATCTAGTCTTACAGATACAACCGGCCCTTTGAGGGCAACCATAATATGCTGATATGGCCCGTGATGAAATGAGTTGACACCCCTGCATTAAAGTGTTACTAAACCCCCAACAGTACAGTCAGTCTGTAGATGCAGTAAAGCATGCTTGTTATACTCACTGTGGAACCTAAGGGGTTAATCCTCGGCACTGTGTAAAAATACTGTTTGATCCTGTCTTCTCTGATCCTCTCCTTCTTCCAGTGTCCCCCCCTCTAATCCCCTGATAAGACAAATGGTGTGAAGTCATTCTGCACATGCTCTGTTATGGTGTGTATTGCTAGAGAGGTATTTATTTTCTTGGGAGAGTGCATGTGATCAGCACAGGGCCAATCAGCACTCTCCAAACAATGGTCAGGGGTTCTGCATCCTCCTTGAGCAGAATGAAAACTCCTCATACAAGCTTTAACATGTGCTCTGCTGGACAAGTCACAAGACTGCTGTAACTGCTGATGAGAAAAGTTATTTAGAAGTTTATATTTACTAAACTAATTGCATTTCAATGTTGTGAGTACTGTGGGAGAGCAGATATAGTGAATGCAGGGTCGGGGAGACCGGATATAATGAATGCAGGGTCCGGGGAGACCGGATATAGTGAATGCAGGGTCCGGGGAGACCGGATATAGTGAATGCAGGGTCCGGGGAGAGCGGATATAGTGAATGCAGGGTCCGGGGAGACCGGATATAGTGAATGCAGGGTCCGGGGGGGGAGACCGGATATAGTGAATGCAGGGTCCGGGGGAGCGGATATAGTGAATGCAGGGTCCGGGGAGACCGGATATAGTGAATGCAGGGTCCGGGGAGAGCAGATGTAGTGAATGCAGGGTCCGGGGAGAGCGGATGTAGTGAATGCAGGGTCCGGGGAGAGACCAGATGTAGTGAATGCAGGGTCCGGGGAGACCGGATGTAGTGAATGCAGGGTCCGGGGAGAGCGGATGTAGTGAATGCAGGGTCCGGGGAGACCGGATATAGTGAATGCAGGGTCCGGGGAGACCGGATATAGTGAATGCAGGGTCCGGGGAGACCGGATATAGTGAATGCAGGGTCCGGGGAGACCGGATATAGTGAATGCAGGGTCCGGGGAGACCGGATATAGTGAATGCAGGGTCCGGGGAGACCGGATATAGTGAATGCAGGGTCCGGGGAGACCGGATATAGTGAATGCAGGGTCCGGGGAGACCGGAT